TCCCCACACACCCTGACTATATGTGGGTGCTTGGGATCTGAACTTAGTCCCTCATACTTGCATAGCACTTTACTCACTGTACCATCTTCCCGGCCCCAGGTTATGAGTGGTGCCCTCCACCTTCTCAAGTGGGTTCTCGGAGAAACTGGTGTGATGCCAATTTCTTTTTTTAATTATTTTATTTTTGAGATTACAATATAATTTTATCATTTACCCCTTCTTCTCCCTCCAAGTTGTCCTACAACCTCTCCTCTGCTTTCCTTCAAACTGTGGCCTCTTCCCTCATTAATTGTTACTACATGCTTATATGCAGTTGCACACACATATGTACTCCCAAACACAACCTGCTCAGCCTGTACAATGCCCCCTGTGTGCCTGCCTTCAGGGCTGGCCACCTGGCACTGGACAACCAATTGGTGTGCTTCTCCCCAGTAAGACCCCTCTCCCACTCCCAGTATTGCCCAGCTGCCTACTGTAGAGCTCTGTGTAGGGCTGAGGCATCGTGGTCTTTGATCCATCCACTTTGGCATGTCTGTTTTTCTTGTTCAGCTCGTGTTTAGGTTGCCATTTTGGGGGAGACTTTTTAGTATAGCAATTGGTGCAGCAACTGAAAATCAGCAAGGAGAATTTTCAAGTGAAAGGGAAATCTGCCATATGACCCAGCTGTATACTACTTCTTGGCACGTGCCCTAAAGACTCAAAAGATACTTGCTCAGCCATGTTCATTGTTACTCTTTGCGAGAGCTAGGAAGTAGAAATAACCTAGATGACCCTCAGGTGAGACTGGATAATGAAAATGTGATACAGACACTATGGAGTCCTGTTCTGCTGTGAAGAAAAGGGAATCACGAGCTTTCCAGGTAGATAGAAGTAGAAAAGATCATATTGGGTGAGGTAAACCCAGACCCAGAAAAAGAACGTCTCATTTTCTTTCTTCTTGGAGGCTCCTAGCTGCAAATCGATGGGATATATCCTGGAGTAACTGCATGTAGAGAGCCGTGCATGGCCGCGCCTCAAAGATGGCGCCGGCGTCCGGCTTCGGCCTTCCCGATGGCAGGTGTTCTCTGGGATAAACAACTCCTTATTTGGCTTGGGTGTGGAATCTGGCTTGCTTGCGTATGTCTGACCCTATCGGCATTGTCCACGTGGCACTATGGGGTTGGTTGCCCAGTGGCTATAAAGGGCGTGGGTTGGCTTTCCCCGGAGGTCAGAAGATGGTTTCCCCGGGGTCAGAAGATTGTTCAAGGTTCCTGAATAAACTGCTTGGAGAAGAGCCTGGTGTTGCGTCTTCCTTGTTGGTCGAGGCAGACGCGACAACTGCAGAAACCAGGAAGTAAAAGGGGACCATTGCCAGAGTTGAGGGAGCAATAAGTGATCTGGTTGGGAAGGGGGAGAGGTAAGTGGGAAGGAAGAAGGGAGATGAATGTAGAGGGAAAGAGGTAAAATAACTAAAGATATGGCCGGGCGGTGGTGGCGCACGCCTTTAATCCCAGCACTCGGGAGGCAGAGCCAGGCGGATCTCTGTGAGTTCGAGGCCAGCCTGGGCTACCAAGTGAGTTCCAGGAAAAGGCGCAAAGCTACACAGAGAAACCCTGTCTCGAAAAACCAAAAAAAAAAAAAAACTAAAGATGTTTGAAAAAATTATAAGGAATCGTACTGTTAACTACCTTAGAAAACCTATAATACATGTAAGTCTAGGTATAAATATAGAATTTCAACAAAAATTTCTCATCTGGGCTGATTGTTCCCTCCAGGAGCCAAAGACCATCATCTGAGAAACCCCCCCAACACCAGGCATAGGAAGGCCTTTTTTGAGTTGATGGTCAGGGTTATCCAAGAGACTCCAGGGACATTACAGGCTGGTGCTGTTACCCACTTTGCTGTGTCATCACTTGTGAAGACAGACCTGCATCACCTACTGGAACAGTTCCCAAATGTTGAAATCTGCCATATGACATGTTGACAGAACTGAAGCCAGATGTGATTTTAATACCAGAGTTCACCTTTTAAGTAACGTAATAAAATTGTTTTTAGTTGATTCTAGCTCAGCATCATTAGAGCTCATCACCATATCTCAATTGGAAATTCAGGTAAGAAATCATAACTACCTAATCTTTCTCTGTGAACCCTTGGGCCTTTGCCCTGATGTAATCAGGTGCTTGTAACTTGCTTTTACCTCTTGGCATTTGTGTTCTCTCAGAGAAAGTCAAAAGGCCAAGAGGAGACCAGAAGAGACGTGAACTCTTATTTTAGAGCTGAGAGGTGCATGTGCTCTGATCTCTGTACTCCGCCTTAGGCCAGGCAGGCTTTCCCCAAGGTTGCATGTAGGAAAGGTCTTTCATTACATCCAGGTGGGCGCTGCAGAGAATGCCTCAGAGCTAGATTAGTTTTGGTGGATGTTATGTGGGTGATAAAGGCCCAGAGGACTTGGACAGCTTTTATGTAACTTAAAATTGTGTCAACATTAGTTCCGAAGTGTTATTAACAGCAAACAGTGCACAATTAATCTCCTCACACTTCTGCGAAATGTGGATTTTCATTAACTTAGATTGGGTTAGGCCAACTGAGCGATGCCAGCAAATGTGGAGAGATGCAAACATCGATGCCGTGAGCTCAGCTGCAGGGTGCTTCGGCGAAACTGTCCTGCGTGGTCTGCTTAACACACTGCAGGCTTTCACCTCCCTCCCTTTATACACCTATGTTCCCTTTGCCCAGTCTGTGTATTTCTGACCTTGAGCAATATAATTCAACCAATATTTGAGTACTGTTACGTGTCATGTGGATATACAGATACATATCCAGATAAAAATTCTTCCTTGTACATCCTCATTCTCGATGGAGACACCAGACAAGATAAACAAAATGTATGTTTACTGGTAAGTTCTAAGGAGAAAATGCTGGGGACGGAGGATGAGGAGGAAGGAATTAAAACTGTGGATGTAGTAGCCAGGAAAGAGCTTCCGTGAAAAGCTAATTTTGGGTTAAAATTCAGGAAAAAGCGAGGAAGTTGGTATGTGACATAGATTGAACATTTTTGTTCCAGGCAGTTGAGAAGGCATGGGAGCAACATTGCTTAGATCTGTTCTTTCCTGCAGCAAGTGGAGTGTTGTGAGCAAAAATAGGACATGTACTAAAGTATAAATGCCGTGCTCAGTCTCCACAGGAGATAATAATAACAACAACTCAAGTATCACATACACAGGAGATAATAATAATAACTCAAGTGTTACATACAAGGAGACAGGAAATGCTAGTTGCTGACACTGGATTACCACCTTGGGAAACAGGCTGCTTGAAAGATCAGTTGGTAAGGGAGAGTTCAACTCTATTTTGTCAGTTACAGGTTTAGTTTCAGGTGAAAAATCAAAGATAAATGCATAAGTTAAATTCAGCTGTTTTCCCAGTGTAATTAACAAATGCCTACTGAGTGCCTGTTTTGTGTCTTAAAAAATGCTAGGCATTTGGAAAAAGTGGTGAGCAAGACAGATGTCTTGATCGCAGATGACTGCATGCAATTGTGGGGAAGAAACAGGCTGATTATATTCACGTCATAACTCTCATTAGGGACATAAGAGAGGAGAAAACACTTGAGTCTGGAATCGAGGTCAAAATACACCGAGTTGGAAATGACCACTTCCAGAGTGTAGAATGAGGTAATGAGCCCAAAGGGGGACACTGGGGAAATGGGCAGTGCTGTGCTTTCACAAATGTAGTTCATTCTGTTCAGCTGAGTTAATATCCTTGTAAGTCATCTTCCCGATGACTGGGTTAGCCGAGAATGGAACTGATCAGCCCGGGGAGCTCAGGCATGTCCTTTTTGACAAAGATTGGAAATCAGAAGGATTAGAAGACATTAGCCAGAGGGAAGAGAAAGCAGCATAATGCAGAAGGTTCCTAGGGACTAAAGGGTTTCAAGTTGAAGAGGAATATGAGGGAGTGAGGCTGGTTGTGGGCCAGAAGGTTTTAGGCCTTGTGGGCCAAGTTGTTTTTAATCTGGAGAGAAAGAAGAAGCCATTAAGAGTGTGAGTGGGGACTGGAAGCAGATGTTGTAATCAGATCAGTAGTGGTGCTCTGAGGTTGAGTGGCAGTAGTGGAGGTGAGGCATCTGATGGGGTAGGGTAGAAGGGCGTTGAGCAGGTAACATGAGCATATGAGCAAACGAAATGACCACTCTCTTTTTAATTAACCTTGGGCAGTCATATGCTGATGCAGTTAATATTGAGATTGAGAATAACAAGACCCCTTAAATTGAGATAGAAAGGTGATGGGTCTTAGACTCGTAAGATGCCCAGCCGGGGTACAGAGCAGCTCAGCTGTGGTGGAGAGGGTCCTCTTGAGGAGCACCGGAAACCATGAGAATAGATGAGGTCCAGCTGCCTCTGACTTAGGCAGACATGCTGGAAGTGCAGACCTCTAGCTCCCTTGTGCCATGTGGATGAGAAGACTGCAAATCTCTTGTGGGAAGCAGTTTGTTTGTCCTGCTGCAAGCACTTCCGGAGCCAGCATCCCTACTAACCACAACAATAGCCCATATTCAAGCACTTCCGATATATCCAACATAAGCTGAGCACTTGACCTGAAATGTCTGTTGAAAGTCCCACAAGGTAGGTGCTCTCTGCATTTTACAGCCGAGGAAACAGGCTTCGGAGACTCTCAGATGTGATTTGGGTATAGAGTGTGTGATCAAACTCAGGTCGCCATCTGGCTCCAGAACTCAGGCTCTTGGTCCCCATTGTTGTCTCTCCCTGGTTCCCATTCTCTCCAACCCCCATGTTCCCTCCCCTCCTCACCCTGTCAGAATGTCTTTTTGCTAATGCTTCTGCTTCCAGGGGCTGTTTGAGCAGGAGAGCACAAACACCCATGACAGGGTCACTTCCTATTTTTTACCTGCCACACCCAGGCCTCTTAAATTGTTTCCATTACAGTTTGGGATTAGGATAGCAAAGGAAGAAAGGTGTATGTGATTGTTTCTAGCTGCCGGAACAAAATACCATATTCGGTAGAATAAACAACAAGAATTTATTTTCCCATAGTTCTGGAAGCTAGAAGTCCAGTTTCAAGATTCTGGTTAAGTTGGTTTCTGATGAGGGTTTGTAGATGGCCAGCATCTCTGTATGTGCTCACATAGCCTCAGCTACAGGGAACGAGAGATGGATGAGGGCTTCATCCATGTCTTCATGAAACTCCAATTCCCTGTAAATGCAGCCATTCTGGGAATCAGGACCTCAACATAATGACTTTGGGGAGAACATAAATATCACTCAGTCCACAATACTAAATTGTAGTCATCACATTATAGACCACTTGCTTGCATATTAGCAGAGAACAGATAGGAACTCAGCCACATCCTGCTGCTCCTGGAGAATCCCAGTCCAACATAAGGAACAAACATTACTGCTCAGTTAGCCCACCACTACACTAGGAAATGGGATGGAGTTATTCAGAATAGCAGTGCTGGCACACGCCGCTCTTTCCGACTCGGCTTTCTTTCTAGATTCCAGCTCCATGTAGGCCCAATTATCTGAGAATGTATTCCAGAAACATCTATTGAAAGTAGCCACTGCAATGTTCTGGAGACAGAGATGTGTCACTGTGCTCAATATTTTATGAAGGGATCCCAATGGTACTGGATCACTGTGGTGATCTGATAGTGGTCCAGGAACCACAGGTAACTAACTTTGTAGCCTGTTACTCAGTCATGCTCTTCTGAGGGGGCCAGCCATTGCTTTTTCTTGTGGCCACAGAAGTCTGGTGAGCACACCCTGTCTGGGAGTCAGCTTCTCCCACTCAGCAGCATGGCCTCAAGTCTATCTCAATTTAAGAATAGTTAACATTTGATAACTCATTTTGTGCAAGCATTGTTCAGGCTGTTACATTGGTTTAGTATGCTACCTGGAAGAGCTAAGTGATACCATACCCATTTCACAGAAGAGACCACAGGACATAGGTTAAATAGTTCATACAAGATCATATGGCTTTTGAGAGACAAGTTGGCACATGAAACCAGAGGGTCAAAATGGAGTGTGGACTCTGACTCAGCACACCGACCTTCAAAGCTGACCACTGGGATGCAGTAGAGGAATGTCCTGCTCCTACATACCATCCCTACTCCTCCCAGTCCCCAGCCCCATGCCCATGATTTTGGTATGCCAGCTAGGGGCTTGTGGTTTACATATCTATGCTCACAGAGTCTCCTCTGCAACCAAGTTGCATGTGGATTAGCTGGACTATTCTTACAGAAGGCTTGGAGATGTTTGGCTCCATTTCCAAATAATAATCTAAAATGCTGTGAGGATATCTTGGAGTAGGGAGCTCTAGATCCTGGCTGTGAGTAACCATGCTGCTTTCCTAGTTCCTCCTGCTACCTCCCCAGCTTCCTAGGATAGGCGTAGGAGGCGTGGTGGAGAGCCCTGCTTAGTCTCCCAGAGCCTCCTGTTTGGCCATCAGAACATGTCTGAAATCCCTATAAATGTTGCAGAATTCTCTATGCATTTGGGTTAATGTGCTTTCCTGCTTCAGATTCTCAAAGCTCCCATGACTCCAGCATGGTTTAGAATTAACTGGATTAACATGTCTAATTCTTCCTCAGTAAAAAACATCTCTGAAGCTCAAGTGAAGTGAACTTCTTTAAGCCAAGTGGCTCCTGGAAGTAGTTTACCTGCCCATTAAAATAACTTCCTGGCCTGCCATGGTAGCCCATGCCTTTAATCACAGCTCTCAAGAGGCAGAGGCAGGTAGACCTCCGGTGAGTTGCAAGCCAGCCAGGGCTGTGAGACCCTGGGTCAAAAACAAACCACCTCCCTGGAATTAGGCAAACTTTGCAAATAGCCAAGGTTGTCATGGACCTAGCTCCTCACCCTCTGATTCTTTGTCCTCACCCCCATGCACTGGTTTCTGTGGGGTTCTCAGGATTGGCTTCTGTCTGCTTGGGAGGAAGTGCTGTCTCCCCACCTTCAGGACCTACCTTCACCAACCCCTGGCTTCAGGAGCTTCAGGCCCCCCAAAATTCTGAGAGCAAAGGTGTGAGGGAAGGACCTGCTTCACAGAGAGGGTCTCCATGGGGTCCTGTGAGCAGGAATTTATTCAGCAGATCAGATGGGAGTTATCCCTGGAGTCTGCCAGAAAACAAGAAATAAAACAAACACTTTCCAGAGCAAGTAAAATGCTGGGGAAAACCAGAGAGGAGGCCATATGCTCATACCAACCTGGCCCTTGCAGGAAATGAGGGACTGCCTTGGGTCTATGCCTGCTGGGGATGGACCCGCTCATCTTCCCTTTCCAAAATGGTGTGACCAATGATCAGTGTTCTCAGCGCTGGGTTTAATTAATTTGATGAGTTTTTATTGTAGAAATATGGTCCGTGGTGGCATGAGGTGCAGACTCTCCGTCGCAGCACCCTGCAGCTGTGACCATTTCCCCCTCCACTGGGCCCCTTGGCCCTTGCTCTTAAAGGAAACTGGGTACTTGAACCTGAGCTGGACACAATGAAACCTTGCATCATTTCTCTATCGGATCCCCAGGGTCAAAGAGCAAGAGGGTTGGTAGCTGCTGCGGGGAGCCGGCCATAGGGCCGGGAAGTCCAGTTCGGACAGGCAGCTCCTGGATAGTCCCGCGCTCACTCGCGGTGCCTGCTGCCCCTCTGCGAGCAAAGTCAGGAACTCACCAGGCAGGCCAGGCTCCTACGTCCGGGTGGGGACTCCTCTTTTTGGATGGTTTCCTGGCAGGGCCCGCTATATGGGATGGAGGCGCCACTCGCCTGGGGAGTACTTTCAGTCACCTGGACCAGGACCACACACGACCTCTTAACGGCTCTCCCGCCATCCCTTATTTCTTCAGGTCCGAAAGGGTCTTTAGGTCCAGGCGAAGTGTTCCAGGGGCCAGCGACTCTGGAGCCTACCCTGCCCTGCTTCTGCTGGAGGCTCTGCGAGGCCAAGACCAAGCGCCTAGAGGCCCTGACTCAGTCCTCTCTATACTGGCCGCGTCTTCCAGGGCGCACGGGCATCGCGCAGCGAGCGGTCGTGGGGCAGCGCAGCAAAGGCCGAGTGGCGCAGCTGGCAGCCGATGAAGAGGACGACAAGAGCCACTGACAGCAGCAGGAGGAAGAAGAGCAGCAGGTAGGTGGGCAGGTCAGGCTTGGTGGCCGAGCCGTCCCGAACTCCACGCGCAGTGGCCAGCTCCAGAGGCAAAGCACCCTCTGCCTTAACGGTGGCTCCCGGGGCCAGCGCGCCGCTTCCCGCCACCTCCGGGCCGCTGGTGGCGTTGAACACGTCGCCGTACATGATCCACGAGTCCCGCCAACCCCGGCAGGACCACCTCACTTCTGCGGCAGACTGGCGCTGCTCAGCGCCTCCATGGCATTCCCCTCCTGCCCCGCTACACGCACCTGAGGAAGAATCGGTGCCCAGCAGGCGGCTAGGTCACTGAGACCCCCCGGGCGTGGGAGAGGGGGACGTCCGCTGCTCCAGATGTTTAGCCGCGGCAACCCCTGCACCTCGGGCGTTCCCGCTTCTGGTTGTTGCTACCAGGACAGAGTTCCGAGCCCCTGGCCCATCTCGCCGTTTTTCAGTCGCTCTTCAGCTGGGGTGAGCTCCGGAGCACTCCTGGGCTGCAGCAGCTGCAAAGGGTGTAGATGAATGCAGCAGCAACTCTGTGGGGCTCTGCGCTGGACTCGGGGTGCTCACGGATCCGCCGCTTCTCCAGTCCCTTGTCTAGATGCCTGGTGCGTTGCGAGCCTGTCCTACTGCGCTCCCACCGCTGCGCTCCTGCCTGAGCTGGAGCCAGCCTGGGCTCCCAGCGCCTTCTGTCCTGGGCGGGAGGCAGGGAGGTGACAGGATTTGCAGCACTGCCCTGAGAGAAGCTGCGAACCAATGGATGAGGACCAGAACGGACGAGGGCAGCACTGTGCCTGCCTTGCCTCTCACCAGAGGATACTGAGGAGGGGAGAGAGAGGGAGAGAGAGGAAAAGGAACGGCGGCGAAGGCCGAAGGCCGGTAGGGGAGTGGGCTTTTAATTCCTCTTCCCAGCTGCTTCTCCCTGTCTGCAAAGCCTCACACCTGGGATTGAAGGAGCTGGGACTTGAACCCTGGCTATTGCACAGTGAGTTGCCTCTCGTGGCAGAGTAGTTCTGGTAGTTGCTGTTCATGTCTTTAACCACACGTTGAATATAGGACATAGGCTTCAGGGTTCATGTCCCACACTGTCATAGTGCTGTGGCACCTCTGCCTACCCTAGACGGAATCTGGAACCCAGGAACGATGTTACTGGCCAAGGTTGCACAACCGGGTTGTGGAGCAAGGGAGCCTGGGCTCAGTCCCAGTCTGCCTTTTTTGGGGGGAAGGTGGAACACAGCTAATTAATCACCAGCCACAGGCCATCAGGCAGTGCATTCAATTGAGGGGTGAGCTGTGAGTCATCTGGGAACCCCCAAAGGGAACCTCAACTGGGAAATGGACCGTGGGCATGTCTGGGGGGCACTTTCTTGTCTAATGACTGATGTGGAAGGTGTGCTGTGCCAACCCTGGGCAGGTGGTTCAGGGCTGCATGAGAAAGCAGCTGAGCAAGCTATGGGAAGCAAGCTAGTAAGCAGCATTCCTCCGTGGCTTCTGCCTCAGCTCCTGGCCTGCCCTCCCTCAGTGATGGCCTGTGACCAGGAAGTAAGCCCAAATAAACCCTCTCCTTCTCTAAGCAGGTCTTGGCCAGAGAAGCAAACTAGAGTTGACATGGCCTGATTCAGAGACCAAGTGCCACGGAACACTCACACCTGCCTCCCCCTTCCCCTTCTGCCTTTCCCGCTTTATGCCCCCTGCCCCACACCCCAGGGTGTGGTCAGTTTGCGCAGGGCCCCAGTAACTGGCTGCCCATTGCTCAGGCTGGGCACACCTGAGCAAAAGGTGCCTGAAGAACAGTTGTTCACACAGGGCTTGTGAGTACTCAGCTTCCACATGAGTTGGTCCCTTGCTCAGCAACTCTTGCCTGCTCTGCTCTCCCATAAAGAGGCAAGAAGAGAGCATGAGCTGGCCACTGGCGGCTCAGATTGATAGTCCTGGCAAAGGCTTGGTGGCCACAGCAGAAGTAGGCTGTCAGTGGGACTTGGGGGAGGGCGGTGTTGGCAAGTCCTCATTTCATGCACAAGGTGAACGAACACACAGCCGCCACACTCAACAGCCATGGGCGGCCTTGGAAGTTACTGCTTAGCAAGGCCAGAGCCAGGCGCTGCAGGTGAGAGGCACTGTGGCCCTCAGGGTGTGCAAGGGCAGATGCTTCTTTCTGTTTCACATTCTAGATGTCTCTCTCACTCCTCACCCTAGCGCCAGCTCTGTTACCTCACCAACTGTGGGAGAGCTTTACACAATCAGCTGTGCTCATGTCTGTGTCTCTCTGCCCCCTTTCCTCCTCACATGAAGTAGTGAGTGCCTCAGGAAACCCTGGGCTGTCTGCTGAGTGAGCCAATGGGAAGAGGAGCTAGCTCTTCCACTCTCCCACTGCACACTGGGCTCTTGGCCACAGGCAGGATTGCAGGAAGGGCCAAGGTGTGGCAGGCCAGAAGTCGTTCTCACAAGCCCCTTTCAGTGGTGCAGACGCTTCTGCACCCTCTGTCTGACTTGACATGGTGGTCCCAAGTGCCAAGTTGAACAATGTGCCAAAGTGCTCCAGTGGCCTCTGCAGTCCCATGTAGGGGTTCTGGGGAGCCTCCCTGGACCAGGAGAAGGCCATGTACAAGTTAGGATACAGCAGGACTCAGCCCTGCCCATACCCGCTCAGCTGCCACCCTTGCCAGCCTTAGTCCTGGCAAGCAACCTATGTGCGTAAAGGACGCGGGCCCCTCGGCCTCTACATCTGGTTACTGTTTAAACCAACAACTCGCTTTTCAGATGGGAAAGCTGGCTCTGAGAGGTGCCAGCACTTATCCTTGTTAGCACAGGATGCCATCACTGGCACAGGGCCGCAGCAGCAGGGGTAGGAGTTGCTTTTTCTGTAGACCTGACCCATTTCTTACCACACTTGGTGGGAAGTGGGGTCCTACAGGCATGCCAAGCCAGAACAAGCCTCACCAGCACCTTACCCATGTGGTGGTCAGCATTGGGGCCGAATGGAGGTTCTGTTCTGGGTCCTTGTGTGGCTTGAATGAAAGGCTCGGGTGGCTAGGTTTGGGGCTTGGCCTGGAACTCTCTCCTGAGCACTGTATGAGAAGTGGTGAGGCCTACTTTGTCCACTTACATTGAGTACCAGCCTGGCTAGATAAGTGCCCAGGCAGTGGGTTTCCTACAGCTGGTGGGCAACTCAGGTGGGAGGTCCTACGTGGCATTCTGGGCAGGAAAACGCCTTTGGGTTGTAAAGGGAGACTTGATAGCAGACGGATGTCTAGCCCTGCTCTGGTAGCAGGTTGTGTTTCTGGGACATGGCTGTGGAACATGGGTATATAAAGAGGGCTTGGTGTGAAGGGAGGGTCCCTGGAACACCGCAGGCTCATGGTGGGGACAAAGTCATCTCTGATGCTGGGGTCCCTGACATCACTAGCTCCTTCTCCGTGCTGTGCAAGGCCACCCCCCCCTCCCCCGGCACTGCAGGAGCTGGGCCACCAAGGCATGCAGTTGACTTCACTTGTGCCATTCTCAAGGCGGAGTAGCTGCTAGGCATGCCTCTGTCCACAAACTGAGCACAAATGGACTTCAGGGTTCCTGTGACAGCACTGCTGTACCTCTGTGTCCCCCAGGCAAGAGGTGGAACCTGGGAAAGACGTCACTTCTGAGGTCACTTCCAAGGTCACACGGCTGGGTTGCAGTATGAGGGTGCCTCAAATTCCACAGCCTGGGAGTGTCCACCCAGTCTATAAAGGAGCATGCTGTCAAGCTGTCTTTTCTTTTGATAAAGTTAGAGGGGTACGCTGCCCTTTTGGGAGAGTTATCTGGTATTGATGGGGAAGCCACAGTTTATTTTCTGAAAGATAGTCAGAACCCTGAGAGGGTTGATCACGTTCCCTGCACATCCTCAGGCAGGAAATTAAACAAGGTTGGTACTGAGTAAATGCAGAGATGAAGTTTACACAGCTTTTTATACAAGCCAGAGTGACCTTCCATTAAGGGCGCTTTGTGTACTCACGCATTTAAGTCATTGGAAAGATTATAAAAGGGGCCTCCGAGGCCGCCTTTGACTGGCAGAGGTCACAGGGCTGTGAGCTCGCAGAGACCTCTCTCCCATTACGTAGTTATTGAGTGGCATGCATGCCTTTCCTGATGCCTGTCTGCAGAGACCGGAGGGAGATGGGGTAAGGACATCCTCCTGCCGTCACAGACATTGGCAGCTGCTGAGGGGAAACTGGGAAGATGGGGAGCATGGAGCCCCAGGATTTTGTAAACTTTGCTGAAACTGCTCTGGTGCGTGGGGAAGTCATTTCTGTTTCTTCTCAATGTTTGGGGACTTACTATGAAATCACTAGTGTCAAACTGAGGTGGGGTGGTGGTGGTGAAGTTTGGGGGTGAAGAGACTCCCTGTGTAGGGGGTGGATGGGCTCATACTTCTCCTCTGAGTGCTGAAGATGCCCTTCTTGCAGAACATATTTTTGGTTTGGGGATTGGTTTATTTATTTATTTATTTATTTTCATTTATTTTTGAGGCAGGTTTTCTCTGAGTGTCCCTGTCTGTCCTGGAACTTGTTCTGTAGACCAGGCTGGCCTCGAACTCAGAGATCCTTCTGCCTCCTCAGTGCTGGGATTAAAGGCGTGCACCGCCACCGCCCGGCTGTTTTTATTTTTTTAACTGCTTTTGCCTCAGCATCTGATTCAACCTGAGGACAAAGAGGAGGTGGCGTGTTTCTGGTGTAGCACACTCCACCTTCCGTGGGACTCCTCTCACAGCTGACGTGTCCATTCTCCCAGCCACTTGCCTAGTCTCCTTTGGGAAACTGCTTCATTTTGGAGTCTTGGGGGGCATTTGTTGTTTATTTCTTAAAATGACCATTCTTAACTGGTCACCTTAGCAAGGTCACCAGGCACTACACTTGTTGAGATTATGTATAAAACAACAGCTAACTATTGCTAGGGATGATGGTTTGGTTCTCCTGGGAGCAGCTTCAACAATATCCAACTAACCGTATAGTGACATTTCTTTTTCTATCTCTTGATTTCTTTTGATTATGAAGAGGAAAAACTCCAATGTGATTCTGTTAGTGGAGGACCTCTGAGAAGCATGGGAGCACCATGCGGGATGGGATGTGTAGGTGAAAGAAGCCACTGGGCAGTCACAGCGCTGGGGCTCTGGAAAGGGGGACCTGAGAGGAAGCACTTCAGACTAAAGTGCCATCAGCCAGGCCTGTGAGGAGTTCCCAGGCAAACATGGCCCCACTGGAATCTCTGTGAGGCAGGATGTAGGATGCAGTGGCAGTTTTGAGCTTGCTGATTCATCAAAAGGCTACCGTTCTTTTGCTCGGGCTGGGGCTGGTGACCCTTTGTGGTCTGTTGAGTTCTGGGAGAAGAGACAGGTGGCAGAGGCTCACCTTTCCTCAGAAACCTCCTTGCTCAGCCCTGACCCCAGCCAGCCTGTCCTTCCTGCCTGCCCTTCTGAATCTTGTTGGTGTCTGGGCCAAGGTGAGCGCCCCCTTATGGTCAGTGTCTCCCCCTTTTTTCTGTTTTGTCTTTGTTTTCCAAGGCATGGTCTCATACTGTAGCCAAGCTGTCATTGAACGTGGGACAGCCCTTTTACCTCAGCCTCCCAAGTGCTGGGAGGTTACAGAGGCAAGCGCCTCACCTGGCTCAGTGCGTCACTTCTGTGGTCAGTAGTGTCAGGCCCTCCTGAATCTCAGGCTTCGCGTCCTCCTTGGGCTGACCACCTCTTCCTCCCTCTCCTATTTTTGCTGGGGTAGCTTCCGCCCAGGCTCAGCCTCAACATAGGCTGAGCCTGGAGATCACAGCAGCTTCCTGCCTTTGCTCCCCCGAGGGAGGTCCATTCTCAAGGGTGGGTCTAAGTTGAGTAAAGCCTGGAGTTTGTACATTTTAGAGGTGCACTCTGAGGATAAGACTCAGGACTCAGTTTTTAAGTGAGC